CAACTTCTGATACAATGAGTTTAAAATTAAATAGTAACAAAATGTTTTATTGTTATAATTATACATGAGATCAAATCAAAAAGTTATCAGGCAATTAGTAAGGTTCTTGAAATTAGCGTATTATTATTAGCTTAATAATTTCCCAATATTATCAATGCCCGTTTAGACGGGAATTTCTAACAGACGTAGACGGCCGTAACGTATATTGTCGAATTTTCAACAAAAACGCAGACCAATTAGTTATTTTGCTCACCATTTTTAGGGTTCCGTAGCCAAATGGCAAAAAAACGATATTCATACAAAAATAGAAAAAAAAACGAATGGACTTAGATTTTTTTTTATCAAATCTTTACGTGTGGGGTATGGATAGGTCTATAAAATTGATAGGTCTATAAATTAAATATGGGACCCATTTCCACTAAATGTTGTTAGAATTCATAATGCAATAAGGTCGAAATTTTAGTTTGATAGTGTTTTGATGACATAATGTCATAATGAATCGACCCTTGAAATGATAACCTCTTTATAAAATACTATTTCGTGTCAGTGTCATTGAAAAAACAGTTTAATGTGACATTTTTACAAAGTATAATTCGTAAACGGAACATAACATAACATCGGAAATGATCTTTTGCTGTCGCTTCAGATGACGTAATTGCATGGTTGCCCCTAGTAACGTAAAGTTGTCAATGGTAAACATTATGACATTGACGTTGCATTAAAATATTAGCTTTATACAGCTTGCAGCAGATTGCTACACGATATTCAAAGGTGGGGCCCAGATGAAAGCTCGTGTCTGTACATTACCATGCAAACTTCTAGCAAAAGTTGATTTGAACGAGATCAAGCAATTACCGCAATTTACATTTAATTCAATATAAAAATATTTATTTAGATAATGGTACGGAACCCTTCGTGCGCGAGTCCGATTCGCACTTGACTGGTTTTTAAATATGCATACTATTCAAATATACTGCTTATAGACATGTTTTCTCCTGCTAACCAATCTACAGTACAGACACGAATTATGAAATCTTGCAGATCCATATTATTGTAAGCTGCCTTTTTATGATTTCATTTTTGACCATCATCATTTGCATGCCCTTTTCCCAATTCTATATGTGGTCGACGCAACATGTCTTCCGCTTCCATTCTCCTCTATCACTCGCAATATCAACACTCACTCCCTTACTGGCCATGTCCTCATTCACACAATCTATCCATCTTTTTTTCTTCGGTTTCCTCTCCCCGGGCAACCCTCCACTCTCATTATACAGGTTGGCTTATTGAAATGGGTCAGGATGGGAAAGTCTGAAACTATAATATATATGAAGATCTGTTCTTGGGAACAAGATTTTAATAAAAATAAAAACTGCATTCATACATTTAAGAAAAACCCTGTGATCAGCACGGGAATCAAATCCGGTCGTTTTGAAAAAAAAATACACTATTTCTATTTAAATATCGATTATGTAGGTCTGAAGCAGTAAATGTTTCTATTAAACGTGATGTCTCAAATGCGTAAAATGCATTTTTGTCACATAATTTAAATTATTTCAGTAGAGGTTCTAAGTGACCACCGTTTTTTTAATACAAAATTTAACACGTATAGGTAACTTATCTTACTAATAAATAGAAATAGGAAATAGTGTTAGTTTTTTTTTCAAAACGACCGGGTTCGATTCCCCAGCTGACCACAGGGTTTTTCTTAAATGTATGAATGCAGTTTTAATTTTTATTAAAATCGATGACATAGTTCCTAAGAACAGATCTTCGTATATATTATAGTTCAAACTTTCCCATACTGACCCATTTAAATGAGCCATCTTGTATACTCTCATATTAAATTTTTGACCATATATAATTATTTGCCGAACAAGGATTGCTGCCTGATTTTTTAAATTGCTTACAAAATCTTTTTGTGCCGACCAAATTATTTAAAGGCTGACCAATTATATACTTCTCATGAAACATTAGTATTTTGTGTAACCTCCTTCTGCATTTAATACGTCTTGTAAACGTTTCCTCATGGAACCAACTACCTTCTCACAAAAACCTCGACCTCTGAACGATTCCCAAACATCATTTGCATGTCGCCTTAAGGCTTCTGTTGTTCGACATTGATTCCCATCCCACTCTTGCACCATTTTACCCCAAAGGTTTTCGATGGGATTGAGGTCTGGACTTTTTGGTGGTAGTTTGATTAAAGTTAGTTCTCTCTGTTCATTAATCCATGTCTGTACTGTACGAGCATTATGTACTGAGCTGTTGTCTTGAAGGAATGTCATTTGTTGTTCTGGATAAAAAACTTGAGCTGTAGGAAGAAAAGTATCTTCCAGAAGTTCCTTATAATTCATTGCATTCATTCGTCCACTTATTTCCACAAGCTCACCAGGACCATCTTTGCACATCCATCCCCAAAATCCAATTGAAATACGTCCACTCCGGCGATTAGGCAGCACATTTTGTTCTAAGTAACATGTGTTTTCGGGTCGCCACAAACTTAATCGCCCATTATCTGATGAGCAGAGAACCTTTTCGTCCATGAAAATAACGTTTTGAAAATTAAAATTTAAATAATTAGCTGCAAATTGTAGCCGCTGCATTTTGTGCCTTGGCGTGAGAGTTGGTTTTTTTGCCGGTACTCTATTTTTTAAACCTCCTTCTTTTAATCGTCTTCTAATGGTGCTAGTGGATATTTCGAATGTGCTTGAAAATTGTGTAGTGTTTATAAATCTGTCATTTTTGGCTTTATCTATAATAGCTATGTCTTGGTTATTTGTAGTAATACGCGGGCGACCAAATGAAACATGATTATTTAATGTTTCTCCTTGCTGCCATCTTTCTAGCCATAAATATACAGTATTTCTCTGAAATAAATACAATTTTATACTTTGTGAATAAAGTTTCATGTTTTGTGGGCAATTGATTTTTAGCATTTTTCTCCGTGATACTTACGGCTATCCCTAGCTCATCGGCGATATCTTTTACGGATAAACCATCATTTTTTAGTTGTATTATTTTATGTTTCATTTCCGCATCAATACGGTACGAACTCATATTAATTATAGTTAATTTATGGTATGAACTAATACGTAAGCAAGCTGCTTGAATTTATTTGTGCATGACACATGACAGAGGTGATAAGAATAAAAACTGGAAAGTGTTTAACTGCCAGCGTCATCTTATTATAAATAAATAATTAAGAGGTCCTATTAAAATTGTTCAGATATTTTTGAAAAGTTGTATGTTCAGATATTATTGACAGGCATCTGCTCAGATATTATTGAAGTAATGAATGATCAGATATTAATGGTCACTTGTAGTGTATAGAACTTATTGACATTTTAACTGTTCAGATGTATTTGGTCATCTTGTATGCTCAGATATATCTGATGGCGACTGTACAAGTGTTCCCTCCCTGCACTGATCGTAGGAAGTAACGAAATGGACCAAGGCCGAATGGCGAAAACTAAATCTGAGGATTATTATTCTTTGTTTAGTCTATTGAGTAGATAAGTCCTATCGATATATATATACTATTATAATGAGAAATTTAATGTATTATGTAATTAATAATAATAAGAGAAAAATAATTTCACAATATATGTATAATTCAAATTATAAATATAATAGTAGAAATAAAGAAGTAAAATTAGGAATAATGAATAATCCATTATTTATGATTATATTTATGGAATGTCCGTTACACGCTAATACAATTTACTTTTGCTATGCCCAAATGGGTAACATAATTCGGTCAATTATATTATACTAGCAAACCAGTGAACCAAATGTTCACCAAAAAAAAAATGTATTTAATTAATTGAGAACTTCGGAGATTTTGTATGGTTTCGTTTGAAATAGAAATCACGTGATTACTCGAGAACCGGAAGTGCTACGTTACTCAAATCCGGTTTGTAGTCTTATCAGACTATTCTTAACTTATAACTTAAACATTATCTTTATCTATCTCTTACGGTTTGGCCGCTGAAACAGCACCACGGACGGCCGGACGGACGGACTTGCCTAATAGATAAGAGATACCTACCATCTTTTGTAAAATTATGATATGCAATAAATGTTTGACTTTGAAGTTTATTACAAATCGCCAGCAGAAATTTTAAACTTCTATAAAAATGAGAATTGGTAAAGTTTTATAACCAGGATTTTCAATCATACGATACTTCTCAATATTTTAATTGCTCTAGATTCTGAATTTGGTTTTTATGTTAGTCGTTATTAGTAATGTTTGAGATTCTTTTCAGTATATGGAAACACTAATACAACTAGGACTTAATAAATAACAAAAATCATATTATTAAGATTCATAATATAACTAAGTATTTTAAGTATGTCTAAACAGATACGGTCTGCTCTTATAGATTGATATCAGACCCATATGCTGAATAACTTATCTGTAATTAGCAATTCCTCCTTCATGTAAAAGTAAATTAAAACAGGGTGATTTGATGTAATAAAACCACTGCAGACAGAAATAGTAAATTTATTTTTATTTATAACTACAGAAAATGTTCCTACTTAGCTAACGTGATTAAATAAATTCCACTTTATCTCACACATTCCGTAAAAAGAGAATGTCTTTTCAGTTTCAATATTGATCTAATAAATATAGTAGAGATGATGACAAACTTTTCTTCTTCCTCTATCACCTAGATCACAGATCACAGAAAGAGGTTAGAAGGGTGTTCATACACCGATTGTACGGTAGCCGATGTCGCCGGCTTGCCCCCACTACATTTCCACATAATAAATAGTAGCCAATCAAATGACGCGCCATCAAACAATCGAACCAACCAGCGCTCACACCCGGGAGCAACGACGCAATCAGAGCCAAGTTTTGGGCAAGTTATGAGCATTTGCTCACACATAACTATGGCGTGCCTGCCCCGCCCACAAGGCCCTTCTAACTTCTGTCTGTGTTCTGTGGGGTAGATTATCAAAAAGTATAAGACGTATTTTTGAAGTGAAAACTTCTTTAGCGGCGTTGTACCCTTTTTTTTGTAATGGGTAAAAACTCTTAATCTCGCGTCAGGACATATGGCCTGATCGCGTCAGTCCTGACGTCCTGGTCGACGGTTGATAAACGCAAAGAAAAAATAAGACCATTATTTTTTGATAATCTTACCGACTAAAATAGAATTTCGTTACTTTACCCCGTCATCATTCCTATTATTGATAGCCTATGCTTTAACTGCTGTGTAACAAAACCCAAATCTTGTTTTATTAAATACAATTCGATCGCAACAACGACGTTAAAATGCAATAATTTTCTCAGAACAATTTTATTGAATGTAAATCAAAAATATTCTTTTGTCCAATAGGAAGCCTGTTTTACATCCATTACATCTTTATCTTTGTACACCTTCACGACAAAAATAAATCATTAGGTCGGTGTGTCACATCTGTCTAGACAATTCACCGCCAAGGCAACATCTTGACTCGTGAAAGTTCAACGTCCTACCTACACAAAGGCAAGGAAGCGAGTCACATCTTTTTCAGAAGTTGGCACGGAGACAGTTCCACATACCATTGTTTTGTTCAGCATTGCAACGACATTTTATAAAGGTAAATTCACGAAATAGGTCAGCAGCGGCGACTAGGCTATGCATCGTTGCAAACACAAGCGAGCGAGGAAATCGGCCGTGAACTTCCGAGGAATAAAGTTCTTAATGTGGAAATGTCACGCGGTAAAAGCGCGTTCGTGATCGCTTCTCGCAATTAGAGCTTTAGTTAAATGCCAAATAATTCTGTTCGCCAATAAAAAAACACATTTCGGTTGAAACGTTCCGAATAATGAATATAGGTGCTTCGTTCAAAGCGTTTTAGTTACGTGACTATTGTGTGAACGATGAAGCGAGAGATATTTCAGGAAACTCTTAAAACTTTACACGGTGTCAGCAACGCATCGTGTTATCAAAACTGTAGTCACTCAATTTGATGTTAAACTTTGATGTGTTTTTTACATAATGTTTAAAAAGGATTGCATTTGATGTGCCATTGAATGTTAATCGAGCACTAGACGGACGATTCGTAAATAACGATCTGCACTATTGGTGGTTTCTGTTGGGGTTTCGTGGGGGAGGTGATGTCCCTGATGACTGCCTCGACGGCTGCCTCCCACTCCAACTGACGTTTGTCAGCGTCTTTTCCCGAGCCCAACCGCGGCATCGTGACCTGTGCCATAAAGAAATACATGCTTACAAAGTTTATCAGTGCCATAACAAAAAAGAATGAAGATAAATAGCACTACAAGCGCAGGATTTATTGGTTACTTCTGATGTACCTACTTATATTTGTCAAAGAAAAAACCACTAATGGAAAGAAAAATACATACATGATTTTAAATACGACAATCCTAATCTATTAAAGAATCTATTAAAGAGAGCTTTACTGAGAATTTCATTAAAATGGAGTGCTTTGCAATGTTTCAACTACCGGCATCAGTTAAGCGTGTGATAAGGCTGCAGCACACAGAAACGTCAATTTATGTATGCATGTCAAAGTCAGGTGATGTCCTATTTTAGGTCTTGCTATGGCAAAGAAAGAAACAACATCACATTTAACTCAACTTAAAATTTCATTGACGCCACTGAATGCATAACAAAACAAGTACTGTAATAAATAAAATTTACAATATAAGTCTTAGGACTTGGTGACGTATACATTAATGCGATGTTTGTTGACTATATTCATTTCAAAAGACTAACCACCTTATTAGAAAACTTTGCTAAATTTTAGTGTTTGTTTAAAAAGCAATGTACTTAAACAGAACATAATTTCGATGTCGATCGATTGTGTTTGGGAGAGTTAGTATAGCCAATGTGATTGTATGATTTACTTTTATTCAAATATTATGAGAAATTATTAATCGTATAAAATTCATAACGTATTAATGCACATGACGTTTTTAAATATAAATACAACTTAAACTTTTATATCAAATTATTTTTTTAATTACTTTTTGAAAAAATAGCAGTATCAATGCAAACGCGATTGAGTATATCGAAAACTCATAAATCATCTGTAATTCCATTGAGTGTTGTGGTGCTAGTATCGGAAAATACTTAACGTTGAATGAATACCAAACTCATTATCCGCCGATATAATACTATATGTATATTGAGCTCCTGGCATCAAGCATAAATATGTGCTCAAAGAAACTGTATAGGTAGCGGCAAACTTCTTGAGCAAAACCACATACAAAAAAACTTGCGCAGTAGACGTATTCGAATGTAAAATTGCAACTGCGCAGGTTTCCTTGTTTATGGTTGAGTTGTTCAAGAAGTTTGCCGGGGCATATACGCAGCTGGCTGAATTAGTCGTTTAACTACATAAAAGCAAAAAAAGTGATTTTTACTTAGGAACTAGTTTTTATTAACCGCTGCCCAAAAGCACAACATGGTTCTATAATTGTATTGCAAAACAATTCTTTCTTAAAAGCTTCCAAAGTATAATCATATTTTATCGAAATTGGTTATTTTTTGAACATAAATCCATTGCAGAACGCAAAAGCTTCCCTGTGAGGCAATATTAATCAGCAGCTTTTATTACATTTTGACGGAATATTATAAATGTCTTAATATTTCTTTGCAAATTAGCCTGCATAATGTTATATGTAGTGTACCTTTTTTGGTATCTCTGTTCCCTGAAAATTAAAAAGAGATGAGCATAATTTCGAAAACTTTAAACTAGTTTTATTTCATGACAATATTTATAATTTTTATTATTTTTAAAGCATGTAACTGCTTGATGTTTAAATCTAAAGAAAATATAACTAGAAAAAAATCCACGCGGACCAGGCAGCAGACGGGACTCGAACCCGCACCCTTCGCAATCCGGGCGAATGCACTGACCAATTATGCTACCGCGGCCCTCACGGACCGCGTCGAAATTCTTTCTAGCTATTCTTAAGCTGCAAGGCAGCGCCATCTCTTCGCATTATAGGTAAACCCACAATGTCAAATGAATACTTTTACAAGTATTAAATATTTGAAAGAAGAAATAGCAATTATAGTTATAATTTTTATTATTTTTAAAGCATGTAACTGCTTGATGTTTAAATCTAAAGAAAATATAACTAGAAAAAATTCCACGCGGACCAGGCAGCAGACGGGACTCGAACCCGCACCCTTCGCAATCCGGGCGAATGCACTGACCAATTATGCTACCGCGGCCCTCACGGACCGCGTCGAAATTCTTTCTAGCTATTCTTAAGCTGCAAGGCAGCGCCATCTCTTCGCATTATAGGTAAACCCACAATGTCAAATGAATACTTTTACAAGTATTAAACATTTGAAAGAAGAAATAGCAATTATAGTTATAATTTTTATTATTTTTAAAGCATGTAACTGCTTGATGTTTAAATCTAAAGAAAATATAACTAGAAAAAATTCCACGCGGACCAGGCAGCAGACGGGACTCGAACCCGCACCCTTCGCAATCCGGGCGAATGCACTGACCAATTATGCTACCGCGGCCCTCACGGACCGCGTCGAAATTCTTTCTAGCTATTCTTAAGCTGCAAGGCAGCGCCATCTCTTCGCATTATAGGTAAACCCACAATGTCAAATGAATACTTTTACAAGTATTAAACATTTGAAAGAAGAAATAGCAATTATAGTTATAATTTTTATTATTTTTAAAGCATGTAACTGCTTGATGTTTAAATCTAAAGAAAATATAACTATTGGTCAGTGCATTCGCCCGGATTGCGAAGGGTGCGGGTTCGAGTCCCGTCTGCTGCCTGGTCCGCGTGGATTTTTTTCTAGTTATATTTTCTTTAGATTTAAACATCAAGCAGTTACATGCTTTAAAAATAATAAAAATTATAACTATAATTGCTATTTCTTCTTTCAAATATTTAATACTTGTAAAAGTATTCATTTGACATTGTGGGTTTACCTATAATGCGAAGAGATGGCGCTGCCTTGCAGCTTAAGAATAGCTAGAAAGAATTTCGACGCGGTCCGTGAGGGCCGCGGTAGCATAATTGGTCAGTGCATTCGCCCGGATTGCGAAGGGTGCGGGTTCGAGTCCCGTCTGCTGCCTGGTCCGCGTGGATTTTTTTCTAGTTATATTTTCTTATGACAATATACAGGGAGACTCGATTCTTCGATTCGGATTCCTGATATTTGCAGTGCTATTCTGTAAGATCATACTCGCTTTTCACTGGCGTGTATTCCGCGGTGAAAAGTTAGTTTGTTATAACATTGGCTGGATAAAGAATCAAGTTACCCACAGTAAGGTTATAACTTTTTGTTCTTTCGTCCCTTTTCCTTATTATACAATCAACTAGCATAATTCTACCACAAGTTATTTCTCACAATTCTTCTTACCTAAGTATTACTAATCAGTATTCAGAACTTATTTTTGTTTAACGCGATATGCTACCGTCCGCAGTTAAACGATATAAAACTAACGATATAGAGGACTATATCGTTAGTTTTACTCGTTAGTTATCGTCGACTGCAGAAGGTCATCTTCAATGCCGTCGGATACTTCAAAAAACAAAATATAAAACACTTCAGCTACACTTTCTATGTTATAAAAACAATTTGCACCTTGATGTTCCACAAAATGGTGAAAAAATTGCTATACTTTACTTATTTGAAATAAACTCTTCTTTATGTTGTATCTTATGAGTTAACAAAATTGCGTATGAAACTCAGCAACATTCCGGAGTTTGATTTTTTTATTAATTCAGCCTTGTATTATTGCTTCTTTTTCTTTTTTAACATGCTTTTATTAGGTCATCTTGTAACGAACTATGTAGTAAAATCTAACAATCTGAATCACACGCACTTGTAATTCTTGTATCATCATGAAATTAGATGACAATATCATATGATGGCACCATCGAGCTGGTCTGATGATTGGCTGATGGAACCTTGGACATAGTAAACATACTAGTAAACATATCGAGTTTGGGATTATTAAATTCGTCTTAATATTACGTGTTTCATAATGCTTAACAATTCAGTTAAAAATAATTAATGAAGCGCCCATCGCTTTTTTCAGTTATATATAAATAATTATGTTAAAATAAACGATAAACATGACTTACTTTAAGGCCCTAATGAATTAAATAGAGAGTGCAGTAAATAAAAGCGTATTTTTATTTTTTTCATATAGGTAAGATAAGAATAATAAGAAAAATATAAACTACCAATATTAGGTAAACTACCAGTATTAATGTATTAACATAATGTAAGAAAAGCTTTACACAAACAGTACAGTAGTACAGTATTAAAATTATACCAATAAGGGATCTTACATTTATATACCTAGTACCTAGAGGAAAATGATCTATTGTATAGGAACGAGAATTTCGATCAAACTTTCGTATATTTCGTAGGTACTAGTCCATTCTCGCATATCCTCTGGGTGGATTCCCTATACCCAGGGGAATCGTCGTAACAGAATGTAGCCCGTGTACCCATAAACCATTTCTATGCAAATAATCACACAGATTCGTTACCGAGGCAAGGGAGGGGAAACCACCGAACATTATTTTTCTTTTATATGGAAAGTTGAGTACAAATGGCACTGTGCAGGCGTGTATTGCAATAGTAAGATAGATACTTATTTGAAAAAAAAACTACAGGATAGACACACCACAAAAATTTTACTGGTGCCCCAAGTGTCTCTATTTCATTTCACTCACAAAATTCATATTTAGTATCATAGTTCCAAAATCGTCAAAATAGTATGAAAACGACGCTAGCAAATCTGCAAATACATGCATTAAAACTAATAAAATAGTGTTGGCTGGCCTATTGACTTATGATTATAGCAGCCATTTAACGATGCCACTCAATCAGATTATCTACGTTAGAGGGCGTGCGTGTAGTTTTTAAGACACATTTCACGTGAATACCGCAAAGTGGCGGCCGCTAACGGTTCTAATGCGGTTTTTACGTGTCTGCAGGGAACCCGCTTCATTCGATTAAAGCATTCAATGGTTTTACAAGCATGAAACCGCACAGAGACGATTTCACAATATTGTTTATGCTGCCGAATTGCGTAAATACATATACGTCGTAGCGTCTGCAACAACTTCGATGAGAAACCAATAATGTGTGTAGATCGACGGAACTTTATTGGTATTAAAAAAGAAATGGGAATTGAAAAATCTTTTTATCACATTAGACCAGGGTCGATAATTTTTGAGACCA